AAAAAAAAAAAAAAAGGGAGTGGCCCCATTCACAGATGCCTGCAAAAAAAAAAAAAAAAAATCAAAAAAACACCTCATTCCTACCTGACCAGTATAAGCATGTCTATTAATAGTAAGTATTACTTAGAGGTGTTCTTATGCTCAGAAGAAATAGAGAACATAGTTTGGACAATGTTGCTACTTAAAATCATTAGCCTTTTGCTTTGGAAGAGAATATAGGTTTTTGTAAAGAATGTGAGTGTATCCAGTCACACACAATACACACAGGTACACAACATGCATATATGGATATATACAATCGAATAGTCTCTTCAGGAGCTTATTTATTTACCTGGGCAATTGGCAGTCATCGCTACCCACAAATCTTTCCCTTATTCACCCCCCACCAGGTTAAGATTCTGCCAGTCCTAAGAGGCCCGCTTCAAGGGCACCACCTGTAGGAAGGCTTTCCCTGATGACCCCAACTGGGTATGCATGACCTCGCCTCTTCCTTTAACCCCTGCGGCACCTCATTTGAACTTTCTTGGGAATATTTTCTGGTACCTATCACAGTCTTCCTTATATTATCTTTGGTCGTGTATCTATTTTATTCCCCACTACATGGTAAACTTCTTTGACTTTATTTTTATCCTCCGTAGCAATAACATTGTGCCTTGAGCCTACCAGGCACCCATTAAAAAAGATAGCAAGTGGAATATCATGCGCAACCTGGTTCAGATTCCATTTATGCCTCTTTCTGGTTTTGCAGACTTGCAAGTTGTTTAGCCTCCCTGAGCAATTTTGCACTTCCGTAAAATGAAAATAACATCATCTATGTCATTGAATTGCTATCAAGATTTAAAGAGAACCATGTGAGGCAAATAACATATTTGCCTGATGCACAGCAAGTTCTCAAGCAGTAACAAGCCTTATTATTGACTTGAATCAAAATCAAATGCCTGCTATTAATTTGGGGAGGAGGCTGAAAGAGATACCAGATCAACATCAATTTACAAATCTATCTACGCATTTCTCATTTTCTTTAGCCTATATTATCATGTGACTATCTCATAAAGATGTGAAGTTTATACCTTAGAAATCATTTTTTGTGTTCTTTTGTGTTAGCTCCTCAAATTCTGATTGGTCTTTAATGCTATGAAAACTTCATCAGGGACTAGGGGTCAAAGAAGTTAACAAGAGAAAATTCCTGGAAGTGCAGGATTCTAAATCACAAGGACTTCCTAAACTTTGATTCATTTGCAATTCCAAGGGTAAGTTACAAAGAGCAGAAATGCTATGTCTAAACAAAGAGACAAGTCTCTCACATTTCCCTAAACTGTGTCCTCGATGGTAGCTGTATGGTTGTTGGTTACCAGGAACCATTCTGTCCACTACTGCTGGGGGCGGATGGGGCAGCACAACGAAACTGTTGGAAGGGAAGGCTGGAGGAAGACTCCTACAGCCCCATATAAAACAACTGCCAGTGTGGTGGCAGAGCCCACATACACACTCCATGCCCAGTCAGGGAGGCACCAGTAAGGTCCTGACGCAGGTGAGGGCAGAGACAGCCGCAAGCATTTAGAGCCTCTGGTATCAATCAGGCACCTCCACATCCAGCAGGGCATTCCTGATTTTGAAGGAGTTCTCCAACAAGGGGAGAATAAAAAGCAAAGCATCTGGATGGGCATTTCCTTAAGACATCCTACTTCTCTCACTTGAGACCAGAATACCCAGTTGTACGTGCTCAGATCTATTCAAAGTCTGTGTTTAAAGCAGTCTAGCAGTTGGAATTATATTCTGCTACTTCATTCGGGAAGAAAGAAGAGTCACAGATAAAGGTTAAAGAGTGGGAAGATTCTCAAGTAACTATTTGTGAAGCAGCCAAACCTCACAGAATAGCCTTATGTAAAAAATATCTAACTCTCTTTAGTCACCTTTGCAGATATGAATATAGCTCTTCTGTGTTTCCCTTGGACTTGCAAATTAAAACCCTCGTGATAGATTCAAGGATTAATGATTGTGATGGTCACCCGACACAGATGCATCCCCCATGCTCTGAGGCAGCAAGGAGAGGGCGGGCAGCTGAGACTTCCAGGCCCAGAAAGTCCTGCCTGGTGGCCCAGTGGCTGAGGCATCTGTCCAGACCCGGCTTTGTTAGGGCAGTTTGTACTCAGGAGAGCAGGTGGCTCTTGGCCTTTTTCTTGATGAGCACAGCTCTGCAGGGGAAGCAGGGGCTGCTGAGCACCCCAGCCCCCAGGCCCTAGGAGGGCAACTGGCACTGCTAGTCATGGAGGTGCTCTGGAGTGTCACAGCAATACTAAATAAACCATCATTAGGGAAGTCTGGGGCCATCTTATCTGGCATTTCTCCTTCATCTCTTGGCAACCACAGGACAGAGGCCATTAGAAAACCGGATCTTCCTCTTCTGTGTGTGTGCTCTCATATTATCTAGGCATCTCAAAGCATGGCACTATCACTTAAGTCATTTCACTCTTCCCACACTCAGGAAGAGTGAGGGGCAATCCCCATTTCCAAAGATGGCAAAGCAAAGAAGGTTAAGCAGCATATTCCACAGGACCCTGCAAGATGGGGCAGGCTGAGAGGAGCAGCCATGAGGCCTAACCCCTACCCTTCCAAAACAACCTGCAAACACACTCTCGCTGGCCTAGTTTCATCGGCTGCTTATTACATACCCCAAGAAAAATATTTCCTTTGCAGCCACCCACATCCTTATCAGAAGCACATTCAACAAAATCACCACAAGAGTGAGGAAATCTGTGCCTGTGTGAAAAAGATATCTTTGCTTGTTTATTTCATCTGATTCTATGGCCTCAGACAGAACTGGAAACTTCTACAAAACACCTTGACCTTTACGCTTTGGCATTCCCAAGAAGCTCCCTAATCCCTAGTGCATGATACCTTGACCACCAAGATTAATTTCGTTTTCTTTTGGTTCAACCCTCCTCTCTTCCAATCAGTCCTCTCTGGACCCTGCTCTGCTGCCTTGGTCCTACCCACACCAGCTCTTCCAATGCCCTCCCTAAAACCATGGCCCCAACCAGGGCTTCTTCTTCTACTCAATTTGCTCCTCTGTCCCTCTCCTTTTCAAGGAGGAAGGAGTCATTGGTGAAGCAGGGAGAATGGCAGACTGTGAGGGAATTACTCCAGAAGACTCAGGGCAACATGCTTAGAAGCATTTTCCGGATGTCCTAACAGAGACAGCAGATAGTCAAACTCACCCCCTCCCTGAGGGAGGCCTTGCCTTGGCACAGGAGTACATGGGCCAGGCCTAGACAAGGCTGGAGAAATCCTGCTGCTGAGCACCCGCTTGATGCCCACAGCATGCATGATGCTTTCTCTGCGGTTCCCTCAGTCCTCACCAAAACCCTGGGAGGTGGGCACCATTATTCCCGGTTTACAGGGGAGAAAAATGAGTTCCATATGGTTAACGTATCTGTTCAGGGGAATACCAGGATATAAACCTAGGTACATCTCATTCTAAGTCTGTTGGCTTTTTTTCTCTTCATATCATATCACAAAAGTGTCCTTGATTCATCAGACAGAACGCACAAAGAGGGGACTGTCTGGAAAATAAAAAGCGCACCTGGCAACCCACCTTCCAAGGCCAGGTAAAGCAGTAAGTTAAACAGTGCGCACAGGTGCTGCTGGGGCCAGCGCTGGCCTCCGAGATGGGGCTGGGGTGGAGACTTCTCAAGTCTGTCCTCACGGCAGCTACCACTCAGGGCCGCCCACCAAACGGGCTGCACAGAGAATGTGTGGGAAGGTAGGCCTTTCTACCGTACAGCATGTGTGTCTATGTTTAATATAAATTTTACACCAATGTTACTCATAAAAGCAAAGAAAAAAAAAAGAATGTCTTCTATAGTTTCTTTCTTAGAATCCCATAACTTCAGTGTTGGCAAGACTAACTTCTTTTCACGAGCCAGGAAAACGAGCAGCCCAAGGAGGCCGAAAGGCATGCCCCCAAATCACACTGCCAGCCGGTGAGCAGCACAGCCACGACGAGAGTGGGTCCTCAGACTCCAGGGTGAGGATTTGTGTCTGTCTTCCTATGACTCATGCTCAAATCTCCCTTCACACTTGTGCCGCAAATGAAAGCACTAAATCAGCATTTAGAAAGCAAAGA